TGTAAAAAAGCTTTATAAAATACAAATAGAGTTTCAACCACATGCGGGTACACTTTTCAATTCCTCTTTTCCAACATCATTTCGTACATACTTATTAACAAAATATTATAAATAACAAGCGGCATGACGGTACATATTTATATTTAAAGTACTTATGTGTAAGTAATTCAACCATTTCATATTCCATGCTCATTCGCCTCTTCCTTACTTATTTTCAATATTTTTATTTACTCCGCCCCCTAACGCTTTACACCAAACAAATTTGGTATCGATTTAATTTTCTTGCGCGAACAATTCAAATAGTCCTTGTACATATCCGAGCGTAGATAACGTGAATATGAATCGCTCTTCATGAGATGGTAGACATGCGCAGCGGCCACATCGAAACACCAACGATTTGGCCCATTTGCGGCGTTGACTGCTTCGCGTGCCAATTCCACTGACTTGGAATCCACATTGACCGGACAGGGTGCATCGGGTGCGAGAAATTCTTGCCAAATTTTGTGTATTGCTTCTTTGATTTCAGATTGTGGTAGCGTTTTCATTTGTTGCACCGACTCCCAGAACCTTTTTGAATTGGAAATTGTATGAAGTTATTGAGTGACAGTTGTATGATAGGTATGTATGTGGCGCATTCAAGCCCAATTTGGACACCATTTCGCTTTTGCGTATCCCATTTTATTCATAATTTTTTTTATTATAGATGAAACCAATTGGTATAGGGTTGTGGAATGAGTGGCAGTTTTTTGAAAAAGTTTTCGAAAAATCGGCTAGTTCGCGTTTTTTGGAAATCAAAATTTTATATTGAAAATTTGAAAATTTTCTAGAAATTTTTTTTCGATTTTATATTGCAAAAGGGGTTTGAAAATGAAAAATTTCAAAACAAAAATGATCCCCATCGGCTCGTTTTTCGTACAGTTATGACATTTAAAAAAGGAACTTTTTTCAAAAATCGGTGTCTCAAAAACGGTTGTACACAAAAAATTGGTACTATAAAATAAAAGATTATGAAAAAAACCGAGAAGCCGAAGCCAAAACGTTGTCCGAATTGGGCTGGAATGCCCCATTTTATAAAGGATTTCTCACTTTAAGTTCTCGCCACTGTATTCTTTTTCGAGAAATTTAGTGAATTGTTCGCGACCCACTGGATCGTTCAGTAGCTCACGTAAACTGAATCCCCAACGTTTGACGCGCCGTAGCGGAACGTCTTTTCTGTAAATGAGAGAAATTAGAAAATTTAGTGGGTGTAAAATTTTAATTATTTATTAAGACATAAATTGAGGTCTGTATCTTTTTTCATTGATAATTGAGATCTATTACCTTTATTCATTTTAATGATTTCGGTATTTATCATTCTTCCGGCAATAATGAAATTATATTGTTTTATTGAAATACTTTAAATATCAAGTAGGCATTGATTTACAAAAAAAAAAAATTCTTTGCTAATTTCACAATGAGTTCCGCATACGTGTAAATTTTTTATTGAGACCACCAGTTTCCGGTGCAAAAATATACGAACGCTAAATCGCGGAGCCATCTCAACATAGCAGGATTTGATAATGAAGAACATTTAGAAGTTAATTCAGTGTTTTTTTTTTTTAATTAATACTAGGGTGTTCGATTATTCGATTTTTGCCTAAACCACGAATTGGATGAGAAGCTCGCCTAACACGTAGAAAACGTTTAAGCGCCAAACACTCATTTGTTGGAATCAAGTATGATATACTGTTCATCCACAAACTGCAAAACTTGAAAACTTCGAAAAATTTAAAACTTTTATTGAGGAATCAAGATTTTTATTAAATGAAACAAAAAAAGGTTTGTTCGATAAAAAAATCCACTTTATTGGATATTCGAAAATCAAGATTTCAAAAAAATATGTAGAAAAAAAAAAAAAAAAAAAAAAAACTGTGGAAACCGGTTTGGAAAAACCGAGTCAATCACCCTAAATAAAACAAGCGCCGGCTTTTGATCCTCAGTATTGACAGTTTTCTTTTTGTTTATTTAATATTAAATAATTTTCCTTAATTTCAAACCAAACAATTTTTTTTTTAGTTGTTTGTGTATGTGTCTAGAGTTCAAATTCTAAAAATTGGCTTAATTTGGATAATTGTGGGAGTTACGTTATGATTTTTAAGAGTTTGCAATTTTGTTGCATTAACTCTAATAAATTTTGTATAAAGTTTAAAAATCAGTTTTACATGGCTTTTGTTATAAAACATGCTATATTTTTATAAAAAATTAATGAATATTAAATAAAAAATAGAAAAACTCTCGATACTGGCGATCAAAAGGGGGAGGCACTGTATTTGAAATGGTAATTTCCACTTCTAACAAAATTTTAATTCATTACTTAATAATTTAGTGAAAAGTACTTACGAGTTACGTTCCGCATCCCACATTTCTGTGCTGTCTGTTTGCCAGGGATTGGGCAACTCTGGCAATGTAATAAAGTAATCAAATTCATTGTACTGCTCGTAGTAGGCAACCAGGCTGAAATGGTAAAAAATAAATTGTATACTCTTTTTTTTTTAAACGTCTTTATGGCATCTTTTTTGCCAATTACTGTTGTTATTTGTTGAAAATGCAAGGTAATTTTGTAGCGAAAAATTAATTTTGTTAAATCAGAAAGAATTCAAATAATGCATTTGGGAAAAACCTAAACTTTTGAAATTAAACAAAAAACTTTGAAACACGTGAACTTAAGATTGGGTAGTAGATTATGGATCTCGTCCCATTGTGTGCCAGTCTTTTAAGCTGCTTTCCGAAAAAAAGAAGGAAAAAACACAGAACTTACGCTTCTGCCGCCTTCGACACCTTGATTGTGCGTCGCTCGAGTTTTTGTTTGCGTAGCGCAATTACGCGCGTCAATTGTTCGATAGGATTCTTTGCCACAGCACCGCCAGAGGTACCCGAACCATGACCGCCACGTCGATAGGCTTTCTTTATGTCGATTTCTGTAGTGTTCACACAGCCGGGCATCGGCCGGTGCACATCCCAAAAAGCGCGCTCCTGCGAATCTAACACCTTGCGCTCCAGTTTATCACGTTTTTTCGCAACTTTGCTTTGTGACTCCGCCTTGAAGAAAAAATTGCATTAGAAATGGCACAAAAGATGCATATTTGCTTTCATCCAAACCTGCATGAAGATAAATTCCCATTTGCGTGAGAACATTTTTTGCAATTTAGCCAAATTTTCCGCTTCATAATCAGCCAATTCCAGTCGAGTTTTATTTTGCATTGTACGCTTGCACAGATACACGGCATAATCGGTGTTTTCCGGCTCCCAGCAATTTGATGGCCAGAAGTAGGGCGTTTGAAATCTACGTAAATTAAAAAATAAAAGAAGAGCTTGAAGTTAAGCTTATAAGTATTTGCACAGCTGCCTGCTCTAAGCTTCTGTGCTTTTGCGCCATTAAAACCATGCGCCTAAATGTATACTTCAAACTAATACATACTCACCTATAAAACGTGCCATCATTTTTCACAGTCAACTGATGATCATCGATGGGAAAAATGTAACCATGCGAGGCAACCAAATGAGCAAAATGCAAGGCTTCTGTCACTTCTTCTACACCAAGATTCTTTAGTATCCAAGCGACTAGATCCGCACCAGTAAACACTGATGGCACTTTGCTCATAAACGCTTTAACTGTACGCACGGCCACTCCAGTCGATTCTGCTTGCATCTTATCGATGATTGCTTCCATCTGTGGAATTGGGGGTAAGTTATAAATGAGTGTAGTAGTAACAAAAAGTAAGTTTTGAGATTCAAAACGGATATTTGGTTTCTTATGATTAGTTTAGGGTGGATTAAGCAATGGTGGCTTGTTCAGCCCAAGTTCTTTATAGAACAGCTAAGGCAGTGAAAATGTTGTTTAAAATTATCTATGCCGATGGTGCTCTTTCTTAGTCACTTCTATAAAAATACCTATATAGTACATATCGATGGCTGAGTGGAAGATCGACCTATCTCGGCTGCCAGTTCGAAAACGTTCTATCTCAAAAAACTTTTCAAGAACGCCCTATTTCAGGATTGTATTGAAAAACACCTTATCTCAAAATTCGGTTCAAAAACGCCCTATCGCACTTCAAAATGTATTGAAAATATGCTGATATAGGGCGTTTTTGAAATGAATTTTGAAATAGGACTTTCTTGAAAAGTTTTTTGAGATAGAATGTTTTCGAACTGGCTGCCGAGATAGGTCGATCTTCCACTCAGCCATCGATATGTATGTACACATTTCATTTAAGCTTTTTGGGAATTATTGCAACCTTGAAAATCTAACTTGGCCGGGCTAATAGGAAATAATTGTAAAGATATGGGTTATAATGTACTTCAATTAGGTTGAAAAGTAAAATATTATGAGGAAAAAATTGTGCCATTATTTTGAAAAAAAAAAAACTAAAATATTGAAAAGACCCATCTCAAAAGATTTCGACGCAATCAAGATTTGTCCAAACTACTAATAAAAAATGGTTTATCTAGCCTATTCCGACCTATTAAATTATTTCCGTTTTCGGTCTATGGACTATTGAACGTCTAAGAACATTTACAAATGATTTAAAAAAATAACCAAATACATAAATAAGCGCATGTATAAAAATATAAAAGTAAAAGAGTAAAAAAAAAAATTTCCGCGGGATGAGTAAAAATGTTTAAATTATGCCCGAAAAAATATAAAAAACTTCTAAGGTTTTAAGAGGTTAGACGAATTATGCACTACACGACTACATTTTCAGAATGCCATATCTAACTGCTGTAGTCACTCTACTCTCAAATAAACTTTGTGGCGTCCGCCTAGATGTTTTCACACAGTCAGAAAAAAGTCTGTTAAAATATTTCTCTCAACAAATGATTTGGTAACTTTATCTAAATAAGATAATTATAACGAAATTATGTGTTGAGAGAAATACATATATTTAGCTGAAGCTGCTGGGCGGTTTGCCATTGCCATTTTTTTTTTTTATCAAAAATTTGTATGTGGAAAATTTTTCAAGAAAAAAAAAATAAAACAATTTTTCTTTTCATAGAGCATTTTAATGTGTAGGTGTGATTTTTTCAATTTTTTTCTCGTCTCGTTCTCGAGATATTTGGAAAACTATTAATTCGATTTGTTTTTGTTTTTGTGTTGTAAAGTTTTTAGAAATGTGTTAATCAAGCTCAAATTTCATATTTATTTATTATTTATGTTTATCCATCGACCCTAAAAATTTGAAACAAATCGAACACATGAAGTGTGAACCCCGTCCATTTTGGTATGGAACGCCCCTTATGTATATTTCGTATTCAAACATTTCGAAAAAAAACTACGCGTCGTATGAGTAACATCAATGCCTACAAACTTGAATTGTTTCACATAACGTCGGTATTTTGGCGAAAACTCGTATCTCATAGAGCACTACTTTACAGGAACAACAAAACACTCTCTATTAATAACAAAACAACAAATTTTTCATCAGCCCTATCGCCAATTCCATGTGAATAAATTGTTCACATGATTTTACAAGCAAAACCAAAACAAATTGGGAAAAATTGTTTCTGTTTTACTTCATAATTTTTGGGACAAATTGTTCACATGAAATTTAGTATTTTTAACCGACTTCAAAAAAGGAGGAGGTTATCAATCCGTCGGAATATTTTTTTTTGTATGTATGTTACCGCATAACTTTGGACCACGTCAACCGATTCCGAAAATTCTTTTTGCATCCGAAAGGCAGAGGTGGTCCCATACTAATCTGGTTTAGATCAGATCATTGGATCCTGAAAAAATTAACGGTACTCCTAAATTTTTATATGAGAATTGAAGTCGGTTTTGTATTTTGCTTAAAAATTACTTGTTAGTTATTTAGTTCAGTATAAAATATGATGAATCTTAATATGTCATTATACATTTATTTAATATTTTGAATTAATTTAAAGGAATACGTTTTTTGTGGTGATTTCTGTTACGAATTTTTTCCAAAGTACCGTCAATATTTTGTGGAGCACATAGAAAATGAAATTTCTTAAAAGTTACATGAGTATTATATTTGCTGCATCTACATAAATATTTAGACTTTTTACTTGAATGCAAAGTTCGATTAATCAACTTGAAATTCAGCTCAATAGGTCGTAAGAGTAACTTGTTAATTTTTAAATAATAATTATTAAATTTTAATTATTATTAAATTTTCTTGTTGATAAAAAAAAAACCGAAAAAATACACTGGATAGAAATTAAAAAAATAAAAATCTAGCCATTTTCAACACACACATTCAGTTTTTAAAAACTAACAAGGCAATTCTGGCCAAGATAGCAAAAAGTCTGTCTTAAGGCAAATGGAAGACAGATGGCAAGATACTCGGAAAGACTTTTGTTATTCTAGCACAAAAGTCTTAGAAAAAAGATCTCTCGTTCACTACTGGCGGTTATTTTAAGAAAAAGCATTTGTATATCATTTAGCTCGCGTCACTCCAACAGTCGCAGTAGCCGAGTGGGAAAGGTACAGGCGTGCCAATCGAGAGATCCGAGTTCGGGTATTGGCGCAACGAATTTTTATATTTGTTTTAATTTACAATTTTTCTTTTTTAATTTAAGTTTCCCTATTTTTTTATTAAAAAAAACATATATCTACTATGTACATATTTTTTAATTGAACTTAGTTTTTAACACTTTTTTAATCAAATTAATTTTTATAAAATTTTCTTAAATGGTTTGGTTGTTATTGTTTTTAAAATATTTTTTTTTAATTTCATTTAATTTTTAGGAACTTATTTTATTTACTTTCTTTTCTACATGATTTTTTTAAATTTTTTTTTGTTAAATTTTCTTTAATTTTTTTTGATTTTACTGTGTAAAAAAATTTTAAAATTTCATTTAGCTACTTTTTAAAATTATAAACGTTTTCTGTACATTTCCGGGTTCGGAAAATTGTACGAGACCGCACTGTCGGCAAAATTTACGTTTCTCGGCTGGCTTGGATTTGTCCCGGACAAACAGAAATACATTTTCTAGTTACTGTTTTTGTTTAGTTTTTCATCATACAAATATGAAGTACTATGTAGATATTTATTTTATAAAAAAAAAGTCGGGTTGCTTTAATTAGGGCCGTAAACTGAAAAAATTATTGATTACTATTTGCACCGTACCAACCATGGAATGCTCCGTATATGTACATAACACCATGTAATCTACTATCAACTTTCTTTAAATCTTTTTTGGTCTTATCTCTTCTTGTTTGCCACTCGACTTAGCACACTTGATTACCTTTTTGTACACTAGAATATTGGGCGCATCTTCATTGCGACGTGTTAACGGCAGATTTGTTATTGCGGCTGTGGGGAAGGAAGGCTTCGCGCCATGCAGCTGATTGTGCGAGCTATCAGCACCACCAACACTACCACTCCCACTGCTAGTCCCGGCAGTCGACTTCTCATGCTGACTGCTTTGCTGATGGTTATGATGATTTTGACTGCCATTGCCATTGCCATTGCCAGTGGCACCACCTGCGGCAGCCGGCGCAGAGATGCTGGTTACACTGCTGGTGCTATTTGTACTGGACGTACAGGTGCTATTGCTTGTGATGTTGTCGCTAAAGTTCACTTTTGTTGTTGAGGTTGATGCTGCTGCTGCTGCTGCGGCTACTGGCGACGTTGACTTTGAAGCGGCGGCGGTGGTTGTGACGACGGTGGTTGCATTTGTAGGCGCCCTAACTGCATTTGTGGCCAGGGTCGGAGCTGAACCAGTGGCTGGCGCTGCTCGGGACGCTTGCGGTGACGATGTTTTGGTCGCTGTTGCAATGGTGGTGTCGTTCGCAATAGCAGATTCACTTATTGTTGCATTGTCGCCATTGTTAGCGGCAGCGGACGCAGCAGATGTTTCGATGACAGCCGCAGTGATCGCTGCAGATTCTGTGGCACTTGCTGCTGCCGATATTTTTGGTGTTGCAGTAGGTGTGGCAGGCTTTGCAACAGCAATCGGCGTGGTTGGCGTTTTGGGCGTTGCTCCTTGCGAGGTGCTGGTTGATGTTGTGGTACTACTTGCAACCGCTTCCACACCATCAGCTGGCGTCACAACTGTTGAGGACTCATCTTCACTTGCAAATTCAATGGAAATTGTGACACTTGACAATTCCAATGGCTTGATCGCTGCAACTGAGGTGGCTGTTGTTGTATCTGAACTTTTCGCTTCATCGCAAGTGTTGCCTGCACCGCTATTTGCATTGCCAGTGTCCGCAAGAACATCAACACTACGCCCATGATTGGCCATTTCCTCAGACTGAAGTGGATTGGTGGTACGAGCAGCATTTTCGGCAGCAAATTTGGCGGTCATAACGATTGAGGTTTGCGTTTTGTCCATCTCTGAAGTCATCGTTACCATTTTTTTCATTGATTGGGCGTATGTGTGTGTGTGTGTGTATGCGTGGAAATTCTCCCCCACAGGTATGATGAAGGGGAACAGAAGCAGGGGTACAAGATATCAAAAATAATTTCAATTCCTTGCAGTCACTTTACAATAAAAAAAATCACTCCCGCCTTGGTTTTTGACAGTATTTGACAATTCAGCAGAGCACTAAAAAAAAAGTATACGCATCGATAACGATTACACGGCAAGTGACCTAAAAGGATATGCGCTGCAATGGGACAACAGCAAATGCGAAGTCGTTAAAAAGGTCAGGCCAAACTTGCGATATCAAAGCCGTCGGCGTATATATTTAGTGCTTATACTATTTGTATATACATACATATGTACGTATGTAACAGTACACATAAATTTTCAGTGCACACACTTAAAACATTTTCTTTTTGTATTTTTCGTGTTTGCCTAATTACTTGTTGTTGTTCAATAGAGCGACGGCGTTAGGGCGTACAAAAAAATGTTGTGCTCTCTTTGCCTTTGCTGCCTTTCGCGCTTCACTACTTCACTTTTTGGCTTTCGCTCTTACGCACTCGTTGAAATTCCTACGAATGAAAAAAATTGCGATACAAATTTTCACTGTACTTCACTAGAATTGAGTTTCTATAAAATGTTTGCTAAATTCTTTTATTAACTTGTGCGATATTTTTACTCCTAATTTTATTTCAATTATTATTTTTTATTTCCACAAATTTTTCTATTTATTTGCTGCAAATGCTTCTGTTTTTTCCGCCACACACAATTTAGGAAATGTCACTTCGCCACTCGAAGCTGCCTGGCACTAGCGCTGGCGCTGGCACTGGCAATGGAACTGCCACTACTCGTCCACTCTCGTTTATTTACTCGCCTGTGCGTTGGCGCTCGTTTGCTGCCCTTGCGCTCGTGTAGCTCATTCGTGGCAATTTCCGCAACATTTGTTATGGCCGATAAAGTTTTTTTTGTTTCCTTTCGTGTTTCTTGCAACTGCCAATTTCACGGAGCATGTCCTTTTCAAGTGGTTATATTTACATTTTTTAATGCTCTTTACTTCTTCCCTGCTGCCGCTTTGCTTTTTGCCTGCTTTTTTTCATTTCCCTTTGGTCGTCATTTTTTGACTCACAAGGAGCGCAATTTCACTGTAACTTTGTACTCCTCTTACAGCGTGTGTTGCCACGGACTGCAATCCTGTTGATGTATTTGACTCAAACAATTTGACCAGGCTAATGACTAGGTGAGGTTAGGTTAGGATGTGCTAGCTGGCTTGTAAAATATATCAAGAATCCATGATTCGGTCGTAGCGGAACCCATTTTTAGTTTCCTGCTTCAGTTTTGATGGAATCGCCACCTCAAAGCAATTCAACGTTATATTTAGATCACACTCCTTCTTGGAACCTGTAGCGAAATTGATATTTCTAAAATGATTGAGTTTTTCAGCAACATTCCTGCCTTTGCAAGAGCGCCACCCTTTCGGTTCTCGCTATGCCTTTAAGCTCTGCCGCTGTAACTTCAGCTTAAAAGATACTGCAGTGTTTTGGCGACTTAAATGACTTTTTAGTTCTACTTCCGCGCAGTATACATCTGCTTCTACAATTTTTGAACCATCGGTGAACACATAAATACTATTACCTCCGGCTTGCAGACTCTTACAATATTCATCCTCCGTAATCGTTATTAAAAAACTTTTTCCGAGCTGCAGACACAGGATCACACAGAAAGGCGCGCGCAAAAAAAGGCGAAAAAGAAAAATATGGAGAAGAAAGACCCTTAAACATAGCATTCGTGCTTTTCGC